GATATTTCCATCTATCAAATTCCTGAAGATAAATATTAAAAACCTCTTTATAAGTGTGGATTATGAGCACTACTTTCCTATATTGTTGGGAAGCGAATATAGCTACAAAAGACCAATTTGTTCATAATATAAACATTTTAAATGTATTAAAGCAGCTAATTAAATTATTTTCAAAGTTAGTGTATTTTTTATTGAGTTTATTGGGTGACATTGGTTAATTATAGAGATTACAGGTGTACAACTCTACATCTGTATATTGTAGTGTATGGTTACAGCTAGTTGGAAGCAAGGACAAGACTAATTTCCATGTCTCCTGATTCCAAGGCCAGTTTTCCTTTCTTAATTATGGCTCCCCACTGACCCTCTGAGTGAAGAGGAGGCTGGCAAATGTCTTCATCTCTCTTCCAGCCATGGGGTCTGGCAGAGCTCATGTGTAGGCCCGCTACCCCCATCCAATTCAGGCATAAGGAGGAGTCTGGCAGCTGGTGTCATCTATCAAATTGCCCTGAGTTGCAAGAACAGCTTTGTAAGAACTTGCTGAATCAGAAGCTAGGATGAGGGGTGCAGGCCGGGGCAGGCAAAGGGACAGGCTGCCTGAGGATGCTGCTAAGTGCTTACAGATGTGGGGTTGTGGGAAGGGAGAGTGAAGACCAGCTGGGCCCAAGTTTTCCCTGAGGTGTAACTTTGATAATTTGCTGCATTTCAATGACTACACCCTAGGAGGAGTTGGTTCCAAGAAGAAGCCACTGTGATAGTGGGATTATTTTTTTTTAATTTCTTTATTGATTATGGTATCACATAATTATCCTCATCCCCCCATTCCCATCCAAAACCCTTACCCACGTATGTCCCCATCCCCCTCTTGTCTGTGACCACTGGTTAGGCTTATATGCATGCATACAAGTCATTTGGTTGATCTCTCCTTCTTTCCCCCACCCTCCTCTACCTTCCCTCTGAGGTTTGACAGTCTGATCGATGCTTCCCTGTCTCCGGATCTGTTTGTGTTTATCAGTTTATGTTATTCATTATTCCTCCTAGATGTGTTTGGAATTGTTAAAGAAATAAAATAGAATGACAGTTGCTAAAAATGGACCATCATGATAAATATTGGGACCACTGCAGTGGAAGTTTACAGTGGGGAGCGAGGTGGGACTCAATTCTGAATACAGTTTGGACAATTCATAGCCAAGAGATTTTAAAATGTGGGAAAGTGTGCATATTAGAATTGATAAAATACAGCCAAAACTGGTTTGGCTCAGTGGATAGAGCGTCGGCCTGCAGACTGAAAGGTCCCAGGTTCGATTCCAGTCAAGGGCATGTACATTGGCTGTGGGCACATCCCCAGTAGGGGGTGTGCAAGAAGCAGCTGATTGATGATTCTCTCTCATTGATGTTTCTAGCTCTCTATCCCTCTCTCTTCCTCTCTGTAAAAAATCAATAAAATATATTAAAAAAAAAAAGAATTGATAAAATACAGTAGCTTGGATCTCTTCTTTGAACTCCAAGTCTGTATGGTCACTTGCATTTCCTACAGGCTCCTTAAATCTAATGTGTCCCAGTGTGGACTCTTCATCTACCTTGCCAGAGCTGTTTCTTTTCCTGCATTCCCTGTTGTGGCAAACGGAGCTGTTCCAACTAGAAACATCTTAGTCATGCCGTCTCCTGACCCCCTATCAGTTCTGTCTCTTACATGTCTCTTGAAGGCATTGCTTTCTCTCTTCCTTTATCATGGCTTTGAGCCAGGTCTTCTCCGTCACTCCACTGGAATATAGCAGTAATCTCTTAATTTCTCTCCATTCCTCTAATGCAGTGATCAGCTCAAGAGCCACATGCGGCTCTTTGGCCCCTTGAGTTTTTAGCAAAGGTCAGCTTAGGAGTACCTTAATTAAGTTAATAACAATGCACCTACCTATATAGTTTAAGTTTAAAAAAATTTGGCTCTCAAAAGAAATTTCAATCGTCGTACTGTTGATATTTGTCTCTGTTGACTAATGAGTTTGCCGACCACTGCTCTAATGAATCCCTAGTCTACTCTGTCCTTGTTTTCTTTCTTAAGCAGCAATCTGATCTTATTCCTTGATTTTAAAATCTGACATGAAAACTCTACCCAAAAACAGGCAAAGGACATGAAGAGGCCACCTCACAGAAGAGGAAAATATACATTTACACAGGTGAAATGTTGTTCATCTTCATTATGAAAATAAATGTAACGATGACATTATTCATCTATTCTATTTTCAGTTTGTGAGAACTGATGATAATGAATGATTACAAGAGTGTTGAGAAATACTCATTTATATGATTGCTAGAGCACAATATTTCTGGGTGACATTTTGGCAATGTTTTGCCAAATTGTCTATGATCTCTGAGCCTCAATTATTCCATTTGGTCAAAATGGGCTGATATCTACCCTAATGGCCTTAAAGTAGTGAGATAACATAGGGGAAAGTGATCTATCTATATAAAAGGCCAATATGGCCGAAACCGGTTTGGCTCAGTGGATAGAGTGTCGGTCCCGGGTTCGATTCCGGTCAAGGGCATGTACATTGGTTGTGGGCACATCCCCGGTGGGGGGTGTGCAGGAGGCAGCTGGTCGATGTTTCTCTCTCATTGATGTTTCTAGCTCTCTATCCCTCTCCCTTCCTCTCTGTGAAAAATCATAAAAATATATTTTAAAAAAAGTGAGATGAAAAACAAATATTAAAAAAAATAATAAAAGGCCAATATGCTGTCAAAGTATATTCCTAAGTATTTTATACCTAATTATTAACTTTTATTTTCAGAAGTCTTCTTTTATACTTAGTAAACTGACAGAATTTTTGATAATATGGAAACATTACGTTTTATACTTGAAATAAACTTTAAAAAAAAACAATTGGGGGAAAAAAAGGCCAATGTGCTAAGTGTCTCTTCCGAATGGTTGCCAAGATGCACACACACTGACCACCAGGGGGCAGACGCTCAATGCAGGAGCTGCTGTGCTGTGGAAACAGCCGCGCGGACCTGGTTACAAAGTAACACTCAGCTTCAGCTTCTCCGAAGGTAGGACACAGGTCCCGCCACCCTCCAGAGTGACACCCCACCAAATCGCAGCTGACGCTGCAGAGACCCTGTGGCCAGCCCCGAAACAGTCGCTGTGGGCACTGGGTAATGCCTTCACGTAGCAACTCCTGGCTTCCTCTCCCTAGCAACTAGCCTCCTTAGAATTTTTTCAGCCCAGAAACACGGCTTGCTTTTTAGTGGGTGGAAACATTTACACTTTAACCAAATGTCTGTGAAGCATTTTCCCATGCCTCATCTCATTTGATCTTCACAGAAGTCCTGGTGTAGGTAGATAGGAGGCTTCATGGAATCCTATTTTCTTTTCATTAGCCAGAAAACGGAGATTTAGAGAGTTTAGAAAAGAAGTAAGAAATGGTGGACCTTGAAAATGACTTCAGGTTTCCTCACTGCACATAGAATATAGTCAAACACTGTTGCAGTTAAATATTTTACCCTTTATTCTCCTTGCGTGATCTACAATAATAACCTGCTTCCTGTTGATATTTACTATTGTGTTGATGACAATTATCTGAAAGAGAAGTTGGGGTGCTTCACTGGGCTGGAAAATGTTTAGCTAAATGAGAAAGAGGTCTAATTAAGCAAATTAATTTTGTATCTATAAAAGGCTAAGTTAACTTGAGCATGTGCAATACATATAAAGCTCTCACTGGCGCCAATCACATGCGTGTGTTGCCATCTGCCATTGTCGATCATGAATTTAGTCGGGACGAACAGCAATATTAAAGTATTTCTAATTAATTTCCTTTCATGTGCAAGAATTAATGCATGGGGCCACTAGCTTGTAAGTGATAGTTAATATTCATGGGGCTCTTGTTCTATTACCTAGATTTTACATATAAGAAAACTGAGGCACAAAGAATAAAATATTGCCCAAAAGGTGGAGCTGAGATTCCTAGCGTTAAATATATACAAGTGATCTAGCTTTTAGCAGCAACTTACAACGCATTGTGTGTGTGTGTGTGTGTGTGTGTGTGTGTGTGTCTGTGTGTAATAGCCCGCCCTACAGCATCCATATTCATAGTTGAAACTTGTTTATACAGAATTTGCCTTTTCGGTAGTTATCATCAACCGTCGCTAATTGCTTTGCTATCTCATCACAGTCCTGTCTGAGCTCCAGGGTACTCAGCCCACCCCTCATTCCAATTCATTTTCAGTCAACATTGGGAAAGCCTGCGATAAAGCCTTTTTTCCAAAAAGTCCCGATTTTTGGAAAGAATCTTTCCAATCTTTCCAAAAATCGGGATTTTTTTTTTAAAACGCCGCGGGACGCGGGGAAAAATTGTTAAGAATCGGGACTGTCCCGCCAAAAGCGTAAAGGCCTAACAAACACTGTCGTACATTTCTATGGGATCGATGGTATATCTTTACAAATGTAAAGATGGATACACAATAACTAGCTACATACTAGTACAGGAGAGTTCGCGCCTTGATCCTGACAGCTCGGCTCCACACTGGAGGGCTGGGGCTGACCTTTCCAGCTTTCCCGTCAGTCGTGTTTGCCCGGAACCTTTCCTGCGGATGCTGATGCTGCCACCCGGGACAAGACCGCTGAACACATAACAGAGCAGTACTAGTCGTCTAACTCTATGCCTGAAATTTCTAGCACACTTGAGGGAATAAACACCCTCAAGACCTTGCGCTTTTCAAAGTACTAAGCGACGAAAACATTTTTATGCCTTCACAAATATCATAATCAAACGATTTCGACAGTGTCTGTTTTTCTTTTTGGTTAGGCATCTATGTGGACAGCCCTCTTGAAACGAACAGGGAAGGCGGGGGGAAGAAAGCGGAAGCCGAAGGGTCTTCGAAACCAGAAAGTCTCCGGAGCCAGCGCCGGGCTCGTACCAGCGCCCCCCCCTTTTAAACGCAGTCTTGGAAGCCGGCGGGGGGAAGGCGTCGTCGCTGGAGCTGAGACCAAGCGCCCAGAATTCTCAGGGATGAACCTCGAGTTGCTCGGTAAGGAAGGCTATGGCTGCGGCTTGGAGAAGAATCCTTTGGTCCTGGAAGAGAGGGAGCCGGGGCGGGAGAGGATCCAGGCTGCAACCTGCGGTACCTAGTTCTGCTGTGGGTCCCCGGGCGCTCCTGATGTGCAGCAGCAGGAGGAGGAGGAGGAAGCCCGGATTCTGCCCAGGCGGAATGCATTGCCTTTCCAGAGGCTACTTTCTCGCTAGTTTTGGAGCGAGAGGGGCAGTTTGTGACTTAGTTGCGATGACAAGAACCACAGGTGCTGCAGTGCCTCAGAACGGGCAGGACCAGAGTTCCTGGAGAAGAAGGAGTCGGAGGACAGTGAGGCTTGAGGTGAAGCTCTGAAGACTTGTCAGGGGGTTGGGTGTCTGGACAGGTTACATCTTTTTGTAGAAATACGGGAGGCCCAAGGAGGGAACTTGGGAGATCTTCTAGTTGAAACCCCTCATTGAACAGATGGGGGTGGGTAAGGGGGGGGGGCTCAAAGGGTAGCGACTTGTAGGCACTAAACAAGTCAGTGGCACAGTTGGCCCTGGAACCCAGTTATCCTGACTTCCTATTTGAGCCCCGCAGCTGCCAGGGACGGTGTGATGTACACTGAGGTGTGAACTACCGAGGTTGTTGCCTTTTGTCCCCCTCTCGTTGAACCATTTCCTCTCTTCCCCTCACCCAAGTTGTTTAAAAACTGGAGGCTTTCATTATGTGTTTAGCATGGTAGCCTAGGGATGTCTGAGTTTCCAGAACTAAAACAAGTTGCTGTCTTTATGGATATGTTTCTCTTTATTTTTTATTTTAAAAAAATATATTTTATTGATTTTTTACAGAGAGGAGGAGAGAGGGATAGAGAGCTAGAAACATCAGTGAGAGAAAAACATCTATCAGCTGTCTTTTGCACACACCCCCACCGGGGATGTGCCCGCAACCAATGTACATGCCCTTGACCGGAATCGAACCTGGGACCTTTCAGTCCGCAGACCGACGCTCTATCACTGAGCCAAACCGGTTTCGGCTATGTTCTCTTTAAAAAAAAAAAAAAAAGAAAGAAAGAAAAAAAGGAAAAAAAAAAAAAAAGAAGAAACTGGTTTGGCTCAGTGGATAGAGCCTTGGCCTGTGGACTGAAAGGTCCCAGGTTCGATTCCGGTCAAGGGCATGTACCTTGGTTGCGGGCACATCCCCGGTAGGGGGTGTGCAGGAGGCAGCTGATGGATGTTTCTCATCGATGTTTCTAACTCTCTATCCCTCTCCCTTCCTCTCTGTCCAAATAAAATAAAATAAAATAAAATAAAATAAAATAAAATAAAATAAATAAAACACACACACACATATATATTTTATTTATTTATTTTTTTAAATCAGAAGGTGGTTTTGGTTGTATAAAGGGGCTACAAAGATTCTTAAGAAATAGGAACAAGTGCCTTTGGGCAGGGGAAGAAAGGTTATTGTGAACGAAAAGCCTGCGGAGGACTTGGGAGTTCTGAGTGGACATTTAAGATTGGTAAAACATTGGCAGACTGAAATATGACGGAATGGGGAGGAGATCTTCCTAGGAAGGTGGGATTGAAGACATCAGCAAGAGAAGGCCTGAAGAACTAGGCTGCTGGGCCAGGTTGTGGGTTCTGTGAGTCAAAAGAAGGTCAGGAGATGGGGTTGGTGCCCCAGTTTTGTGGAGGCTCTTGAAGGCCCAGCTGGAAAGTCTGAGCTCTCTGAGGAAGGTATGGCAGGTCCATTGGAGGGTTTTGACCTGGTAAGTAACTCAAAGCGTCGGATTTCTTTTTAAGATTTATCTGACAGCATTGTTCAGTTGAGTCTTGGAGGGTGTAAAATCAGCTTGCAGGGCTGAAGTAGGTGAGGGATATAGAAGGTCTCCGGGAAGCAGAGCTGCTAGAATGTGAGAATCAGTGGCGTATGGCCGTGTGGTGCTGTGGGGAGGAGAGACAGTGAAGGATGATGGGAGCCAGTAGCGGTATTGCTGATAACTTAAGGATATTGGTAAAAGGCAGCATTTGCATGTTGAGTGTGGATCTGTGGTTCAGGAGATAGGATAGCATCTATGAGAGGGATTTGTCATCTTCCTACAGGTGGGCTCATTGAAACCTTGCGCGTAGATGAGACCAGGGGAGTAAGTGAGAGGGCAGAAGAGAAAACTGACAAGGACAGAATCTTGGACAGTTACCTTATTAAGGGGCTAGGAAGAGAAATAAGTGACGATAATAAGTTAACTAACAGTTATATTATAGTACTTACTGTGAGCTAGGCATATTTTTAAGTGCTTTCCACATATTTATCCATACATAGAAGCCAGTTGTAGCGCATGTGAGGCTGAGAGCTGGAAAAGGGCTGCTCTGTTTAGTCCTTAAGCAGCTTGGGGACCCCCTCGGCAACCTGAGCAGCAGGAACCAACTTACAATGATTTTAGGAAGGTGGGGGAGACAAAATGGAAGGAAAGAGTTGACCCTTAGTTTTAAAAACTAAAATATAGAGGAAAGATGATAGGCTATTACCTTCAAAGAGATAGCACATGGGAAAGTGGTTGTTTTTGTTTGTTGTGTGTTTTAAATACAGAAAATTCCTGAGGGTGAAACCTAGGAAGGAATAGTTAATATTGGAAGGTTATGCAATTTAAAAGAAAGCTGGGCCCTAACTGGTTTGGCTCAGTGGATAGAGCATCGGCCTGCGGACTGAAAGGTCCCAGGTATGATTCTGGTCAAGGGCATGTACCTTGGTTGTGGGCACATCCCTAATAGGGGGTGTGCAGGAGGCAGCTGATTGATGTTTTCCTCCCATCAATGTTTCAAATTCTTTTTCCTTCTCCCTTCCTCTCTGTTAAAAAAAAAAATCAATAAAATATATATATAAGAAAATAAAAGAAGGCTGGGTCTGCCCTGGCTGGTGTGGTTCAATGGTTGGAGTGTGTGGGAGGCAACTGGCCACTGTGTTCTCTCTCACATGGATATTTCTCTCTCTCTCTCTCTCTCTCTCTCTCTCTCTCTCTCTCTCTTTCTCTCTCCTCCCCCTCCCCCTCCCCCTCCTCCTCCTCCTCCTCCTCCTTCTCCCCCTCCTCCTCCCCCTCCTCCCCCTCTCCCTCCTCCTCCCTCTTCCCCTTCTGCTCCTCCTCCTCCTCCTCCTCTAAAAATCTGTGGAAAAAAATATCCTTGGGTGAGGATTAACAAAACAAAAAAGGCAGGATCCAAATCTCTATGGGGGTGACTGAGTTTTAAAGCAGGAAAGTTAGTGTTAGAGAGAAAAAGGGAAAGGAGCAGAAATGATGTGATTGTGGGAGCATGCTAAAGGACATCTGGTCAGTTATAGGAAATGGATGACAATGTGTTCTTAATATGGACACTCAAGATACTAAATCTGCAGCCACTTTTTGAGCCTTTGAGGTGTGTCTGGCAGTATACACTGGAGATACAAAGTTACATGAATTTTTCAAACTTTTCTCACAACACACAATAAACATGTATTTTCTAACACAACCCATTATTTACACACACACACACACACACACACACATATATATATATATATATATATATATATATATATAAAACAAAGTTTCAAAATTATACTTAATCTTGTTAATTCTAAGAGTCCTCCGGTATCTGCTAATCTATTAAAAAATTTGTGACTCACTAGTTGATTGATCCATTTATGATAGGATTGGGTCCTCTTTTTTGAAAAACATTGAAATAAGACAGCCTTTGCCCTAGATAAATATATAGACCTAGGAGAAGATAACTGTGTATAGTATGGAACCAGCTGAAAGAATAATTAATTCTGCATTGTTGGAGCTGTCAATAAAATTTGGGGATGATTTTACAAGAGGAAGTGCCTTTTAACTGAGACAGTAAATATGAAGTAGGATTTTTCCAGAGGGACAGGTGGAGAGGTAATTACCAGCGCAGAGATCAGTGGTAGTAAAATATGTGCCGTATGTTCAGGAAATGGTGAGTAGTTTATAGCTGGTGCTTAGGGTAGGCTATATAAGGTTCTAAACTAAGTGCTGATGGAGAGTTAGGCAAAGATAAACAGGAAAATACTGGCTGAGACCAGATTGAAATTGCTTTTTTAAATTATTCTTAGGCCCGGCCGGTGTTACTCAGTGATTGATTGTTTACCTATGAATCTGGAGGTTTCCGTTCGATTCCCGGTCAGGGCATGTGCCCAGGTTTCGGGCTTGATCCCCAGTGTGGGGCATGCAGGAGGATTCTCTCTCATCACTGATGTTTCTATCTCTCTCTCCCTTCCTCTCTGAATTAAATAAACTCAATAAAAATATTTTTAAAAATTATTCTTAGGAGTTTTATATATTGTTTAGCAAAGGATATTTTTTAGCAGTAAGTGAAATGATGAGATTTGGGGCTTACAAAGTTGATTGTGGCAACTTTATGAAGTGTTGAGGGAGGCAAGACTGGAGCCTCGGAAATGTGATTATGGTAATGATGACATTGGATTTAGTTGGGTGTATTGGGTTCAGTGATCTAGACACCTGCAAGTTGCATTTCTCTAAAAGAAATGCCACCAACTCCGTCCTCACTTGTTAGATTGAGGAAGCAGGATGGAAACTGTCACTCTGGACCTAATTGCTACAAGAGGGAGGAATTGGTTGGCAAGTAGGAAATTATAGAAACATTGAGAGGAAAAGGCCATGAAATGTTAGTCATGATAAGTCTTTAAGGAGGGGATGGTCAGCACTTTAGGGGTGGGGAACCTTTTCCCTGCCAAGGGTCATTTGGGTATTTATAACATCATTCATGGATCATACAAAATGATCAACTTAAAAATAAGCCTATATGTTTGGTCACATACTTAATTAACTCACCCCAGATGCCTTGGTGTGAATATCAGGAGACTGGGAGGAAGAAGGCTGGGAAGGCCTGTAGCCCAAAGGCAGTTTGGAAAAAGGGTCCTGGTAGGAAAAGAAGGGTTTGACCTGGGTTTATTTCTCTTTGGCATTCATGTCTCTGGGCATTTCCCCCCGTAATGCTCTTTAGCCAGGCCTAAGGAGTGCCGTCGTGACGGAAAATGGTAGCTGGAGGGAGGATGGAGAATATAAAGTGGCCCTGAGCGTTCTGAGGAAAGGCCTTGTGCTCTCCTAACCCTGCATGATGGCATTCTTGCTCCGACTCTTTAACCAAAGTGTCCCAAACTAGCTAGTCTTTTTGTGTTCACTTTCTCTTTGTGTTCCTTTAAACTCCTATTATACCCATTTACCAGGATGAACCTCAAAAAAAAGAAACGCACCCAAAACATAAAAATACAAAATCAGCGGTAACGTGTTGAGGGGTAATCATGTATTAAAATGGTCCTGGGTTCCGGATTCTCTCAGATTGCTTTTGTGTGGCTTCCCCTCCTCCCAACAGCACAAATCACACTCGGTTCCTTCCTGAGTGCTGTATATTTTTAGGTTATGTTTTTAAATTTGTTTTGTTTTTAATTTTTATTATTATTTTTAATTGATTTCAGAGAGGAAGGGAGAGAGAGAGAAAGAAACATTAAATATGAGAGAGAATCATTGATTGGTTATCTCCTGCACACCCCACACTGGGGATGGAGCCCATAACCTGAGCATGTGCCCTGACTGGGAATCTAACTGTCACCTCCTGGTTCATAGGTTGATGCTCAACCTCTGAGCCACGCTTGCCAGGCTTGGTTTTAATTTTTAAATAAAATTTTATTTGTTCTCAACCATGTGGACATAAAGCTATATTATTGATTTGGAAAAATGTATATATTGTTAAAGAAGCAAATCACTTAATAATGTATACACATTAGATAAATCAAGAAAATTACCCTTTTTGACAATTAGTTACCTTGAATTTCATCTTTCTTTTGGTTTTCTTAACTATGGGGCCTGTGTTTTTTTGATGTTTTCTATTAATTTTTTTAAAGGACAAAATGTAATGAAAGTGGTTTTCAGACTTTTTTTTTTTTTTTTTTTTTTTTAAATTAGAGGGAGAGGGGGAGGAAGAGGGAGAGAAAAAAAGAAATTTCATTGTGAGAGAGAAACATCTGTCTGTTGTCCCTGACCAGGGACTGAACCTGCAATGGTGACTTTTCTGGTGCACAGGACTATGTCCAACCAACCGAGGACCACACCAGCCAGGGCCAGACTCTTATTATTTTTTTTAATTAGAGCAGATGGCTTCTTTTTTAAATAAAATCTTATTTGGATGCCCTATATGTAAAGCAGCTTTCTTGAACCTGTAGTTCTCAGTGTATAGTTTAAAAACCCTTGTAATAAAATCTAAGTAAATACTGGCAAAGATGGTGCTGCTGCTGAAATTAAACTTTAAAAAATATATTTTTATTGATTTCAGAGAGGAAGGGAGAAGGGAGAGAGATAGAAACATCAATGATGAAAGAGAATCATTGTCCCCTGGACACCTTCTGGGGATCCAGCCTGCAACCCAGGCATGTGCCCTTGATTGGAATTGAACCCAGGACCCTCCAGTCTGCAGGCTGACACCCTATCCACTGGGGCAGACCAACTAGGGCTGGAATTAAACTTTTGACTAGCAAGTGGTCTCATATCTATAGCTTGAAATGTTTATTACTACTAATGTTTAAATACCAAAACCAAATTTAATATAGAAAAAGTAGTCAGGGATTTTTGTACCAAAATGTTGTTTGCTTAATGTGCTTCACCAACTGCCAGATTATGTTACAACCTAAATGCTATTAATAAGGGGAATGATCACTGCTGGTTGGCTGTTGTTAACAAAGATTTCAGAGAATAGTTGGGACTTAAGATAATCTGACTGATTTGATTTTTAAAAGTTTGTTATTTAAAAATAAGCATAATAACATCATTACATGTTTACATAAATAACATATTTTTATGGAAAATAGCTACTTTACAACAAAATAAAATTTAGTGAGAAGAGTGGCATTGTTTTACATTTTTACAAATCTCTGTAAAGTTTGCCTAAATAGAAGCTGGCAGTTGTCTTACATCTGCTTCTGCATTCACTCTGTTGCAATATCATAGGTCAGGAGAACTCATCTATAGACATGAGATAACGGGGATAAAAAAGCAAGTACCCTCTTGATATAATGACAATAGGAAAGGGCTTCAGTTCTCCATCCACATTTTGCAGGTCACTGCTACACACCATTCATGAGCTGTAGGATCCGTGGTATGTCACATGTGTTCCATCAAATCTCTTTCTTTGCTTTGTTGCAGAGTCCTTTGGGCAGAATTATCCAGAGGTAAGAGTATAGTATTGTGATCCTTAGGAACATGATAACTTGCTAGCTCTTGTGTTTGAGTGGGAAATGCACCTTGATCTTTTTTTTCTTTTTTTGACAAGTATTAAATGTGATGATATATCTTTTGCTATAATAAGGAACTAAATGTTCAATTTTGAGTGGGAGAGGCAGGTAGGCAGTTGGCTGGAAATCTCACCATAATGTAAATATTATAGTTACTTTCCCTTTAAATTAAAAATGACTTTGATTAAAGGATCGCAAACAGCACCATGACCTGTATATAGATTTTTTTCTAGTTTTGATCAGTGTTTTAACATAGTAATAAATCAATTTGTATGCTCTAAGTGTGCTTTATTTTTTTAAATGTAAAAATGTTTTGTGTAATACTTGGGATATATTTCATTGTAGCAATGATTATTTTAAATAGCTAGATATTAATATAATATAATTTATTTGGCTTTTCTAATGTTAAACATATAGGTTGTTCTAGGGTTCTTGTTTTAAATTATTTTTCTTGGGATAAATTAAAAAATATGATTACTGGGTCAGTGGGATGACTCTTTCAATGAATCTTGTTATATTTGATCTAACTGACTTCCAGAGTGTGTGTACAAAGCTACAGTGGTAGTGTAAAGGATTGATCACACCTGTTTCCAAAAATTCTGTTGCTTTTTTTTTTTTTTTTTTTGTACAGAGAGGAAGGGAGAGTTAGAAACATCGATGAGAGAGAGAGAGAGTGTCATCGATCAGCTGCCTCTTGCACACCTCCTGATGGGGATATGCCCGCAACCAAGGTACATGCCCTTGACCGGAATTAAACCCGGGACCTATCAGTCCCCAAGCCGACGCTCTATCCATTGAGCCAAACCGATTTCGGCCTGTGAGCTTTTTTTTTTTCTTTCTTCATTTAATTGATACAAGAACGTAAGTAGAGATTATTGTGTACAGCATGATTTAAATTCAGGAGAAGTGTCTATAGATAGTAGAGAACCTTTACAAACTAATTTGCACATCTTGGTATTATTGTCTGTGTTCTTGTGTTCGTTTTAATTTTTAGGAAGCTGATGGAACTTTGGATTGTATCAGCATGGCCCTGACTTGCACCTTTAACAGGTGGGGCACACTGCTTGCAGTTGGCTGTAATGATGGCCGAATTGTCATCTGGGATTTTTTGACAAGAGGCATTGCTAAGATAATTAGTGCACATATCCATCCAGTCTGTTCTTTATGGTAAGGAATTTTAATATTACTATGTTTAATATGAGTTAAAGGAGGGGGATGAATGATGACTGTGTAATTGGCAATCTTATTGTAGACATTTTAATATTTAATATTACTAATCCAGCCACTAGTAATGTAATTACTCACAGCTGATGTTGTCCTTGAACCCATGTTGTCCTTTAAGACCCTTTGTAATGAGAAATTTAGTGTAATATATGGATTTGTAGAAAGCTCTGTCTGAGAATATTTCAGTACTGAAGAGATATTTATTGTTTGTAGCTGTCATAATGTTTGTGATAAAGATGTTTCATTAAAAACAAAAAATCTTGGGTAGGAGAAAAGCTTGGAAGTCATCTAATCCAGCCCTATCCAGGTTTTTGATTCCAGCAATTTTAGTTATCCAAAGTATCCATTTCTTTATTGAACTGTATAGTTATTACGGCTTTCTGTCAGATAATTTGAGTTGAACTCTGATTTAATATAAATTCCTATTGATTACTTTCTTACTTTCTGAGATGACTATTTAGGAAATTTTATTTTGGCACAGCACTTCTTTTAAATGAACTTGGGGCCAAAAAAAGCTCCTAATCAAATCTAAATTTACTAAGCAGTAACATATTTTCTTTTGTCTAAATAGAAGCAGCAGAAGTATTGTAAAGTCCTGGACTGGGGGGATGCCTGAATCCCAGTCTAGTTTTGGCCACTAATGAACTGGTGGTTTGGGGCAAGACTTTTTGCTAATATACAAAATGAGAGCACCAGCCTGGGTGATCTCTTATGTCCCTTCCAGCTCCATTGCTTTTCTTTTCTTTTTTATTGTTGTGTTTTTATATAAAGACTCATTTTTAACAGCTTTATTAAGATACGAGAGGCCTGATTGTGCACATTGGAAGGAAATTAATTAAAAGGTGGCCAGTGGGGCAGGACTGGTCGAGACTGGCCGTACGTGCCCTGGAGCCAATCTCCCACGGTCCTTCCCTGACCAACTGCATCTAGGGTAGCACTGAGGCTCAAAGGGTGTCTATGGAGTGTGGGTTTGGGTCGAAACGGCAGTCCACCATCCCTTGAGGGGTCCCTGAGTGCGAGAGGGCACTCTGCAAAGTTGCTGTTGCTTGGCAGCTCCTGTGTTGAGCATCTGCCCTCTGGTGGTCATTGTGTGTCATACCTACTGGCCATGCTTAGCCTTTTATATATATAGATTTTAATTCAACAGTCTCCTATGGCTAGTAACTATTATTGTTCCTGTGTTACAAGTGAGGAGATTGAAGTTTAGAAAGGTATATAAATTGCCATTTTTCTTGGGATCTATCTTCTATAATGAACTTTTGTAGCATTAATTTTCCTCCTTCACCAGGAAAACCCACGCCTCCCTTCTGCTCTCTCCATGGCTGCAGCCATCTTGGTTGGGTTAATTTGCATAATTATTCCTGATTGGTTGGTGGGTGTGGCTTGTGGATGTAGCAGAGTGATGGTTAATTTGCATATTATTATTTGATTAGATAGGATAATAGATACTTATCTTTATTATTTGTTTAAGCTCTGAAGGTGCTACTGCAGGAGCAATCAGAAAACTCAGATACTCCCTCTCCACCCCTAAGAAAATAACCTGTTTTTTGTTAAATCAGCACTTAAGGGTTCACTGATTGTAGACTAGTAAATGCATGTTTTTTACAGAGCCACTTGTAGTGTTACCTTGAATTGTTAAGTGCTTCTGTTACTAGATATGAAAATGTCACAAAAACATTCTTATTTATTGCTTTGTTGGGAGAGCTTGCTGTAGATTTGAATATATATTAAAAAAAAAGAAATATTGATCTGTGCAATTAGGGCAATATATGTGACTCAAGCGTTTTTGTCTGTAAAGAATGGTGTGATACACTTTACCTTACAACATGTGCTAACCTACTCTTTTTTTCCTTCTCAGCTGGAGTCGAGATGGCCATAAGCTCGTGAGTGCGTCCACTGATAACATAGTGTCTCAGTGGGATGTTCTCTCAGGAGACTGCGACCAGAGGTTTCGGTTCCCTTCACCCATCTTAAAAGTCCAGTATCATCCAAGAGATCAGTACGTTCAGTCTGAGCTGTTCTTCCTGCGGTGGGGTCTAATTTTACATGGATTAGCTCCAGGCTCATGGCAATTTCAGTTTAAGGTTTTGGAAGCAAATTCACACATCCCTAGACCTTCCACATAAAAAAGTCTTCCTGAATAGGTTGGCTCTACTAAATATATTTTAAGGAGAGTGTTGTATAGTGAAATGCTGGCCAAACATAGGACTTTGGAAATGGACAAAGATAGGAATAAGTATAATAACTAGTCCTTGACCTGCCCTTCCCACTTACCATTTTTGGATTTCTGTAGAAGAAGAAATCATCCAGTATTAAAGTGCACTTTAGAAAGAATTACCTGATCATTCCGTTACCCAGACATTCTCTGGGTTTTCTTTTAGTCAAGTTCTCTTTACGTATAAAGGCTGTTATATAAAGCTTTATCACTCACAAATTGCAGATATGCATGTTACGTGTCCATAAATACTATTTTTACATGGTTTTAATCAATATTTTACTTAATTTTATACATATTTTACTAGTTTGCTAAATTTTTATTTTTAGTTATTACATTTTTATTTTGTCAAGGTAGGATTCCATAACTTTATTCAGTCATTTCTCTATCATTACATAGTTAGATTTTTAGGCTTTCACTATACGTATTCAGTGTGCTTGGGCTAGAAGAGTAGGTGAGGGTATCAACCTTCTGATACCAAAGCAACAGCCAATGTACTATTCATATTTTTAAACAGGAACAAGGTTCTCGTGTGTCCCATGAAATCTGCTCCTGTCATGTTGACCCTTTCAGATTCCAAACATGTTGTTCTACCGGTAGACGATGACTCGGACTTGAACGTGGTTGCATCTTTTGATAGGCGAGGGGAATATATCTATACAGGAAATGCAAAAGGCAAGGTAAGCCTAGAAGCCAGCAAAACACCCCTCAGTCATCCTGTGCTTTGGCTCATTTCACGTGTGCTTGTGCTACTTCCTTTGAAATTTCTTTTACCCCCACTCTAAGCTCGTCTCCTGCACATGTAGCTTATTTTTCTCTCTTGCTTAATAATTTCTGTTCTTTGGGTTTAGAGTGGTCAGAGATTATGTGGCTTAGAAAAAGAAGGAAGGGCCTTTACTGGGTGCTACTAAGGAAGGATCATTTCTAAATTATAAAATTTAAAAGTCACATTACTGCTGGTGAAAATACTTAGTTCTGTAAATATTGTATAATTCAGACTTGCTTCACCAGTAGTTTGGTAGAAGTCAGGTTAGATGAGTGCTAAGGTACCTTTTAAGCTTCGAGTTTGTAGTTCCATTGGGCTTCTTGATTATCTCTCTCTCTTTTTTTTTTTTTTTTAACTAGGACACATGGGCTAGTATAATTTCGTTGCTACTTTAGAAAGTGACAATTTTTAAAAATTATAGTAAAAATCATATAAAGTACATACAACATAAAATATAGCACCTTAACCATTAAGTGTATAATTCATGAGTATTAAGTATACATCCAAATTGTTGTGCACCCATCACCACCATTCATCTTGCAAAACACTAAATAATAAGTCCCTACTCCCTGCTCCCACATCCCTACCCCTCCCTTCAGCCCCTGGTCACTATTATTCCATCTTTATGAATTTGGCTACTCTAGGTATCTCATATAAATGGACTCATATAGTATTTGTCTTTTTGTGACTGGCTTAATTCATTTAGCATAATATCCTTAAGATTTATCCCTGCTCAGCATGTGCCAGAATTTCCATCCTTTTCAAGGCTGAATAATATTCCATTGTATGTATGTATATTTTGTTTATTCATTCTTCTGTTGATGAATACTTGGGTTGCTTCCACTTTTTGATCATTTTGATTAACATCAAACATTCTCTTTTAAGAATAGATTAAGATACTTTATTTCAAGAGGTGAAAGAGAATCCCAGTTAATAAAAGTTGAATACATGGAAATAAAGATGTTTATATTTTTACCTAGTCTCTCCCAGTTTTAGAAACAAGCCAGATCCAATTATTGTAAGTTACGACTACTTACTTTTAACTTTTTTTTTTTTTTTTAAACTTTAGATTTTGGTCTTAAAAACAGATTCTCAAGATCTTGTTGCTTCCTTCAGAGTAACAACTGGAACAAGCAATACCACAGCCATTAAGTCAATAGAGTTTGCCCGGAAGGGAAGGTGAGACCTTGTCTTTTTAGGGACAGTTTTAATTGAGTGGAATGCAAAAATACATTGATTCACACTTTTGGGGTATATTATACTTAAAATTTTGTAAAAGTTTACTTTAAAAATGGATATTAGAGCCCAGCCGGCATGGCTCAACTAAGAGGTCATGGTTTGCTTCCTGGTCAGGGCACATGCCTGGGTTGTATGTTCGACCCCATTGGGAGGCGTGCACGAGGCAGCCGATCAGTGATTCTCTCTCATCAATGATGTTTCTATCTCTCTCTCCCTTTCCCTTCCTCTCTGAAATAAAAAATATATATATATATATTTTTAAAAATGGTTATTAGAAACTGTCAATATCTGGTTCTTAATTTTACTGCATTGAACCAGCATTTACATCTTCGTTATCAGGCAGTTCCTTTACGGGAAGGATATCTGAGTGATATGTGCTGGAACCAATGCCTGGCATGTGGTTAACCCTGGGTAAAGATTAGCTATTATTATAATTAGAATAGATGTCATAGAATTCACAGAGTAACTAAACATATGCTTTATTCACATAAAACCATCCTGTTTATCCCTTTAATTTTGAATGTTTTTCTGGTAAGTTTGGTTATCCAGCTAAAAGTAGACATATCAACAGAGACAAGAAAAAATAGGTTGTCAATAAAAGAGGTAACAGTCATCCTATTTCATGTAGGAAACCATACATGGTTAGGGGACATTCATGTTCAAAATTCTCTTTAATTAAGGTTTGTCAGTAAACTCTGGAAGAAGAGTGTGCAATAATATATTTTAGACAAGTTTCTAAAGTTATTAATAGTAAAAACAAAAAGAACATTTTAAATTGAAATAGTTTATGAACTCATTAAGAAGAATATATTGTGAATAAAATAGGCCCCAGAAATGAAGTATTTATATACATCTAACTGTATTCTTGGGAATTCAAGTTGGTTTCAATTTACAGGTCTTGGATCTCAGTCAGTAGGGATGATTGGTTTGTTAGTTTGCACATGCAGGGTTCAAGCATACACAAGAGGTATATAATATATTTTCACTTCAAATTAAATTTTGGTTTGGAATGTGACAGGTAGATGCATAAGTATTAGAGTACATTACTTAGGTCTTAACTCAGTTTCTTCCCAATTTATAAGTTGTTTTATGATACTGTCCTAAGTAACAGGTTGTAATAGAAAATGTTAACGGAAACAGATTCCTGACTTGTGGTTTTTCTCCTTTCTGCAGTTGCTTTTTAATTAACACGGCAGATCGAATAATCCGAGTTTATGATGGCAGGGAAATCTTAACCTGTGGGAGAGATGGAGAGCCTGAACCTATGCAGAAGCTGCAGGACTTGGTCAATAGGTGGGTTGCAGAACCTAGAAGAATGTGCGCTGATTCATGACCTGGGCTCGGGTTCTAGTTTTCCTTGGGTGCTTTCTTTGTCCTTCAGGACCCCGTGGAAGAAGTGCTGCTTCTCTGGGGATGGGGAGTACATAGTGGCAGGGTCAGCCCGGCAGCACGCCCTGTACATTTGGGAGAAGAGCATAGGCAACCTGGTGAAGATCCTCCACGGGACAAGAGGCGAGCTCCTGCTGGATGTGGCTGTGAGTAGAATGAGCAGTTGCTGTTGCTGCTTCTGTAACAGATAATTATGGGTTCCTCTTGGAACTGATTTTTCTTTCCTTTATTACATTCAGTGGCATCCTGTTCGACCCATCATAGCATCTATTTCTAGTGGAGTGGTATCTATCTGGGCGCAAAATCAAGTAGTAAGTATTTTTCTGGTTTAATTACTTTGAAACTAGAAACCCTTTTTTTTTAATCAAAGAATTTTACGAATAGTACACTAAAAATTGCCTTATTTACTTTTTTGCATACGGTTCTTTTTATTTATTGATTGATTTTAGAGTAAGGAGGAGGGAGATATAGATGGAAATATCAATGATGAGAGAGTCATTGATCGGCTGCCCCCTGCACACCCCCTACTGGGGATTGAGCCAGCAATCCAGGCATGCACCTCGACTGGGAACAAAACCCTGACCTCCTGGTTCATAGGTCGATGCTCAGCCACTGAGCCACACCAGCTGGGCTTGCATATGAATCTTGTAACCTAATTAAATAGGTTCATTGCATCTAGATTTGCCTTATTTTGATGGGGTGGTCTTGGGCAATAGCCAATTTACTAGTTGTTTTTAGCGAGAAGTCTAGTGGACTTTCTATTACATTTTTCTGTTTCTTTATCTGAGATAGATTATTCTTTTGCATTTTTTTTTCAGCTCAGTTTCTGTTTTATATCTTGGTTTTATTTTAAACACCTTTCATTATATTTATAATCGGTGTACTCATAATCAGTCTAATAATATATGAAAGATTTGAAGATGTTGGACCCTAGAATTTTCTTTACTTACTGCATTTTTTGAGTTATAAAGCAATATTTGTTAACACCGTGAAGAATGGTTGATTAGCAGCCTATAAAGTGTGTAGGACTCTGGTCATTGTGCCTTATTTGCCTTTTGGGGAGTACCCAGGAAGTGTGGGGTGGAGGTTTGGGGTTTGGATTATTGCTTCAATGAAGAAGAGTAAGTGGGAGTTGGAGTTGGTTTTACATCTTAAAAAGATTAAAGATGACTTTTTTCTTTTTTTAAATGAAAGAACTACAGTTAATAATAACTTGAAATATTCAAGGTAGGAAATACCTTAATTTAGTAAAACCTATAGATATGTGATTTTCATTATCCATCAGATTTGATCTCCGAATTCTAAGTTGCTTTCATGTTTAGATCTTTCACTTATGTATTAATGGCTGGAGCACAGACTGTTGCTTTCTCAGACGGTTATGTACTCTGTTTGTGGCGCAGGAAAATTGGAGTGCCTTTGCACCAGACTTCAAAGAGTTGGATGAAAATGTCGAGTACGAGGAAAGGGAATCAGAATTTGATATTGAAGATGAAGATAAGAGTGAGCCGGAGCAGACAGGTAATATTTCTTCATTGCAGATAGTATTCTCAAAAGAAAACTGATTGCTTTATTTAGTATTCATCCTTAATTTGTGTTGAGAGTTTATTTATTCTAAAATGTCTCCTTTTTTTTAATTGACTAAGCGCTTATGTGGGCATTATCACTAGGATTCACCTGCTCTCTTAACATTTCACTCTGCATTTCCTGATTAATTACAGATGGTTAATTGAGGATTTACCTGTAGCACTTAGCAGAGCTCCCACACATGCTGAGTCTCAGCTGTATCATGTGTTGTCTCTCCTTTGTCGGTAAAGGGAAGGTAAAGAGCCCAGGCTCTAGAGTCATACTGTATTGGGAAAAATACATATTCCTTAAACCTGAATGTCCTCGTGCGTAGAAAAGTGGTGATAACAGAGCCAGCCTTTAGGGTTATGGGGAATGGATGAGGTTCTTCACCGGAAGCACTCAGTAGAGTGCCAGGTCTGATAGGCATTCTCGTATGATCGTGCTCATTGATATTTTTCTCTATCTTCTGAACTTCCAGGTAGGAAACTCCCTGAGAATAAAGATTTGACTTTTTATCCCCAGGTTGTCTTAACACAGGGTTTAGTTCTAGTGGGGGTTTCAGTGTGTGAATGCTTATTCTGCCCAGTTGGCACTGTCAGTGAATAACTAATGCCACGGATCACCTTGATGGTGCTGGAATTAGGTCCCTATTTTGTAATAGTAGGGAGCTTGCACAACTCATGTGTGTTAGCAGGACCACGGGGAGTGCAGCATGTGCTGGACAGTATTGATATTATCTAGTTGTGTTCTGTGATGCTTTTACTGGAGCACTTACTATGTTGAATTGAAATAATCTGTTAATGTCTGTCTTCCCAATTAGACTACGAGGCTTTTAATGAAGAACTGTTCCCAAGTTTCTCAGTTTCACTGTAGCCCCCATGCCTAGCACATGGTGGCAATTAGCACATATTTGTTGAATGATTAAATAAGTGAACTGTTTGCTTCTCCTCCTTCGGTTCTTCTGAATTTCCGTTTATGAAAATCATTGAGCCACAAGTGAAAAGCAGTTTTGCACTTTTCACACCTCCACTGTGTGTCTGTCCTGCAGGGGCTGATGCTGCTGAGGATGAAGAAGTGGATGTCACCAGTGTGGACCCTATTGCTGCTTTCTGTAGCAGGTGAGCCACGTTGGGGGCTGGGCCTCGGGACACTCCTCCTCTTCAGTTCCCCATGGCTGGTCCTTCAGTCCCATCTGCTTCTTAGCCCCAAGAGATAGCTGCTTTTGTGTACATGAAATCCTCTCCTTTCTCCCCTGTTAGGAAATCTAAAACCAAAATAATTCATTTGTGCCATTTAACTTTACTATGATTTTATTAATCATGCTGTCTGACTTCTTTTATTCATGCTGGCTTTCTTAGAATTCCAGATCCATAGAGGTGATTCTGCCCTAGAGGAAGGGTTCATAGAAGTGATTCTGTCCTAGAAGAAGGGTTGTTGGTTTAAGCATCTTTCTCCTCTTTTTTTCCCAATCCCTTCTCCGATCTTATTCCAAATAGCGATGAAGAACTGGAAGATTCAAAGGCTCTATTGTATTTACCCATTGCCCCTGAGGTAGAAGACCCAGAAGAAAACCCTTATGGCCCCCCGCCGGACGCAGTGCAAACCTCCTTGATAGACGAAGGGGCCAGTTCAGAGAAGAAGAGGCAGTCCTCAGCAGATGGGTCCCAGCCACCTAAGAAGAAACCCAAAACAACCAACATAGAGCTTCAGGGCGTCCCAAATGATGGTGAGACCGCCTCTTCTCTCCGGTGCCTGATAGACCCACTTTTTACTCTCCGCACAACCTGGCAATTTCCCCTGTCAGTGATTTTCCCCTCAAGGATTTCCCCATGTGTCTTTACAGCTTTTAATGATTTCATGTGCTCCCACTTCTCTTTCAAAATGGGGAGATTCTGCCCTCTGTACTTTGCCTAAGATGACATGACACACTGTAAGTCTTCTGACATCTGGCTCTGAGCTTGTTTCACTGTGTCACCGTTCCCATCGCTGCCGCCCCGCCCCTGAAGGGTTTATTAGGTGGTAATGTTTGTCTTCCCAATTAGACTACGAGGCTTGTCTTCTTTCCTCCTGCATACTCTTTGCAGTCTGAGTTTGGGAGCCTTAATAATCACATGGTTGAGTCAGGATTCTTCCCTGGGACTCTAGTTCCCGAGCCCATTTTCTCTCGGTTCTCACATGCCATCATGGTTGTGTGTATTCCTGTTCTGCCTTGGTGTGTACAGTGTCAATGTGTCTTTCAGCTACTTTTTCCTTTAGAACTGCCGTGGCTTGGTGCAAACCACACAGGCTATCTGGGCCCTTTGGCCAAGCAACTATTTCTCAATTAGTGGCCATTCTTTTTATATAATAGTTTTATAAATAATAAAGCAAATTTTTCTCTTTGTGTTAGTGGATCTGGGACATAAGGGCAACATCATTTACTCCTGGATAGGCGGCGCGCCATGTGCTTAGTTGGGGTGCTGGGGCTGGGGGTGTGCGGATTCCTCCCCATGCCCGTCTGTCCTTTTACAGAAGTCCATCCACTACTGGGTGTGAAGGGGGATGGCAAATCCAAGAAGAAGCAAGCAGGCCGGCCTAAAGGATCAAAAGGTAAAGAGAAAGATTCTCCATTTAAACCGAAACTCTACAAAGGGGACAGAGGTTTACCTCTGGAAGGATCAGCGAAGGGTAAAGTGCAGGCGGAACTCAGCCAGCCCCTGACAGGTAAGGACACATTGGGAGCGCTGTCTGGCTTGCTTTGTGGCCTTGCTTTGTACAGCCCCGACTCCGTGTGCCTGCAGCGTTTTTTCCTCCTTCTTCCTTTTTCCAAGTGGCAGCTTTTCTCTGAGTTTTAAGCTTCCAACAAGGGTAGGCGCAAACGGATTTGGCTTAATTCCATGGCTCTCAACTTGGTTCCCTAAGTAGGTTTCAAGGGTCTGCATTCCCTTGATATTATGTGAATGCAGAATATTGTATGAATATCTGTGTAGATGCCCATACCTTTAATGAGATTTCCTATCAGAATTCATGACCCGAAAAGGGGAAACAACCCCTAGTTTAATTCATTCCTTCATCTGTATTTGTTCTTAGATGTTTGTTTTGTCTCAAATGAAAGAGCCATGCAGATAACCAGAACAATAAGCTTGCTTTATATAGTCCCTAATTATTTAACTGTGGCCTCTCTCTCCCTTTCTTTCTCTCCCTTTCTCTCTCTCTCTCTCTCTCCCTTTATCTCTCTCTCTCTCACACACTCACTCTCTCTCTGTCTCTCTGCCATTAGTCTAGAAGCAGCAATTAAGTTGTTCGTAGTACTGTCATAACAAAAAAAGATGAGTTGTTTTGTTTTTAAAACAAGTGATTACTAAAAAGACAGAAACTACAGTATCTTTGTAGCTCCTTAACACCTAAGCCTTTTGAAACTTACTGAGTTTTCTCACTTTTATATGATTGAGGAATTTTTGTGAGGGGATGGGAGAACAGTTTCAATTTTCTATCAAATATTTGTGACTCTAGGCTTTGGTCTCTTGTTTGGAAACTAGTAATCAAATTAGAATCCATTTCTATTCAAACATTGGGTTTTAGAAACTTTTTGTTTTATGTACAAAGCCATCTAGTTAATACAGTTCTCGGAGTTTTTGGCGTCTAGGTCAGTAGACTCAGCGCGCCAATGATAAAATATCTGCCCCCTTCCCCCCTGCCTTGCTTTACAGTTGTAATGAATATGTGATGATGAAATGCTGCACTGGGATATAAGACACTTAAGTCAGTTCATCATTGTGCACATGACTTCTGCGAGAAGCTGAAGCAGGCCCAGTTACTCATCATTTTGAGTATTCTGCCTCAAATGAGCTAGACTTCAGTTTTTCACTGCCCAACAGCTTTTCACTGAACATTCCTACTCTTTCACAGCACAACACCTTACCACTGAGAACCCCCACTTTTCCCAACATTTATGGTGCTTCACCGATAGGTATCACCTCCACATTCAGTCCGCTGAAGGCTCTGCCGTATACCTTAAATAGCCTGAAAGAGTTATATGGGTATTGTCAAAAAAGATTGCAGATTAGTAATTGACTCATTAAATAGAATTGATTCTTTTATAACCCACTTCTTGCACACTTCTGCTGCTCCAGAAGACACAGTTTAAAGTTTTAGTAAGTCGATTTTTCTGGCCCAGGGATTGGAAATGCTTCAGGGTGACTTAAAAGTTGGCCAAACATAGTGAATTAATTTAAATATTCCAGGACACAGTCTCCTAGCTCCTTCAAAAGCTGCCTGTAATTAATCATTTGCTTTGTGAGAGTAAATGCTCGGTAAGTAAACCATTAAGTTTTCTCTCTATGACAGAGTGATCTCAACTTTTACATTTAGTTGGTATGATCACTGGCAGTAACTAAATGTCTCCGACACTCGCCAAACTGGGTTTCTGTCGGAGACACCGGTGAGGTGCTGCTGGCGTTTGCAGAGTGACAGTAGTGGGTTCTCAGCTGTGCTTCAGAAACGTCTGAGGAGAGTTAGAATCAAAATGTTGGCAAGTTTACTCAACCTTAAAGAAGTGGGTTCATTAAACGTTTCAAAATACTGAATACAGTTTTCAGCGATACTTTGAACTATATGTGGACTACATATTTTAGTACTGGTACAAGTCAGCATTTCAAAGCTCCTTCTAGAATGAATAGAAACCATTATCAGGGGCCTATTGGAAGTTTGTTTCCACTCTGCCAACAAGGTTAAATGAGGCACCAACCTCATTAAAGGCTAGAATCTATATCTTGGAATAGCTGGGTGCTTCAAACTGGATTTTTATTTCTACATCATTAGGCACTTGAATTTGTCAACCTTAAGTAGAACAACTATTTTAACAGCTTTACCCTTTATTTTTTATTTCTTAAATGTAATTTATTGATTTTTACGGAGAGAGAGGGAGAGGATAGAGAGCTAGAAACATCGATGGGAGAGAAACATCAATCAGCTGCCTCCTGCACACCCCTACTGGGGAGGTGCCCACAACCAAGGTTACATGTCCTTGACTGGACTCGAACCTGGGATCCTTCAGTCCACAGGCCAACGCTCTATCCACTGACCCAAACCAGTTAGGGCACAGCTTTACCCTTTAAAAGAACTAGAGGAGACTTTTATATAATAAAGCCAGGGTGATGATACATTTTCTGACAACAGACAAAACAGTTGCGTAGTTACTGCAGACATTTCACCAACTTCTCACTATTGCGTACATACGTGCTTCCCCGTATAACCTAGGCTTCCTTCTGCCCTTTTCTCCTTTCTTCGCTGGCCTTGGTGCCCTGACCTTTTGCTGAATGCAAACCTCAAAACTGAAATGGTCAGATTAAACTCAAGTTTGCTGAGAGTCAGGATCATTAAGAAACCTCCAAGGGACATTGTGGTTTGGTTCCAAGACTTTCTCAGAGAGCTGCATTCGGCTTTATTTTCCAGCTGCAGTTTGGTTAGGATCTCTGGGATGGGTGCAAATCTGGGGAGAGTGGTGCAGCTGAGGATTACAGGTAAATCCATTACAAGCCTCAGTTGCAAGACAACCCATCATATCTTTGTGTAGGATTTTTCAGGCAAGAGTGAGGCTTCATCCAATACAATGGTCAACTTGGAGGGCTCTGAGCAAAGCACAGGCTGACTGGCACAGGCTGGCTGACACACACTATTAATTTTCAGATAGTCCCCAAGGCCATAGAGAAAACAACTCTGGTATTTGAGTTTCATGTTCCATACCTTGGGGATTCTCAGTAAAACGCAGCGTACATTCATTGTAGATAGATTTCCCCGAGGTATTCAGAAATGAAGTCTGACCCAGAATGCCTGAGGCTGAACCGTCTTCAGAAATCAGTTCAGGTGTTTGCTTCAGCAGCACGAAGACTAAAACTGGGACGCTCCAGAGATGAGCATGGCCCCCGTGCAAGGATCACACACCCCTCCCAAATTAGTTCAGTCCAAGAGTTTTTGTAGATTTAAAACCTTGAATATACAATTCGAGGTCACCTCCCTCAAAATGCCCTAGCTTTGTATTCAAACTAAATTATTTGTAGGCAGGATCATAGGTGTAGGTCGTGTGTTACTGCTCACATTATATAAATGACAACTGTTTGTTAATATCTGCAATTTAGGAGTTATTGAATAAACTGTTTGGTAAGCCCTGATTGGCCCTGACAAAGCTGCTATAGTGTGTTCGTATTGGAACAGGACATTAAGAATTTAAAAGGGTGTTTGGAAGACACACAAATTATATAGAAATAATCTGCTCTTTGGAATCCAAAGCCACAGAAAATTCTTCCCTATCAAACAGCTCCTCAGCATTGGACAACATCCATGAAGACACACTTTCTGTGATTAGGGAGGACCTATCAGTGAAGTGTGGTAGAGGACTTGACCTTGGGACTTTTTGGATAGACCAGACCAACATGGCACTTATCAGGTGCACACAATTTCCTTATTAGATACTCTCCAGAGGACAGTCCTCAGATCAGAAATGTGAGATGCACGCAGAAGCACCAGTGTCCCGTTACCCTGTGCTCCAGGATCGCCCAGCAACTAGGGCTCCTTGGCAGTAAACATCAGCAGTAGCAAGTGTGACAGCGCTGTGGTCTGTCAGCTTGTGTGGTCTAAGGCCTGGTGAGATGGTGGGCGTGAAGGGGCTGGTGTGCACTTGGGCCTAATGGGAGTGCAATGACCCAGATGAACAGCGGCGCAGCTTCAGGGGGAGGACAGGCACAGGGGAATTTCCCTGCACATGGCCTCCCACTACCCTGCCTAATGGCCCACCACCCTGGACCTCCTACCATCTCGGGAATCTGTGATTGTTTTGAGAGCTTGGTAGTGAGTGAGGGTTTTTATTCCCTTTGCTTCTTAAAAAAATATCAGTCAAATAATTTATGAATTTCTGCTAAAATCGGATAACTATTTAGATATTTTTTCTCATTCTTTGATTTTTATTAGCTGACTGAGGTAATGTTTGAAAATCAGTATTGAGCCCTGGCCACTGTGGCTCAGTTGATTGGACATCTATCTTTCTCTTTTTCTTCTGTCTCTCACTCCCTTTCTCTTCATCTCACTGTAGAATCAATAAAACATATTTATTTTAAAAAATCGATATCCAATATTTTCTTAGGCCACTGGCTTGGGCTGCTATTAGAAGGTACTAGTAGGAACTGCTCATCTTCTGCTGAATTTTCTGTTAATGTAGATTGCCTTTCTGTTGCAAGTAAACACTGCATGCCTTTGAGCAGACTGAGTTGCCTGGAGGTCTTCCCTTGTGCTGCTGTTTCTGTGTACCTTGTCTTGCTCGTAGTATGATTGCTCTGGTTTTGATTTATTTTGATTTTCCTACCATGATTTAAGCTTTAAATGTCAATGTTGCATTCATTTTAAATCATTAAAACTAGATTTATGAGGATACGTACCTGAGGGGGCAATCAGCAAAACTAACCTTAAAGTGTTAAATAGCATAGATTCTTCTATCTCAAGACATATAAGAAATGGACTCAAGAGATTAATTATTATGTTTTTATTGAGAGAGATCTGCATAATAGGTGCTTACTACACTTTTACTGAACAATATAAAGTTTAAATTTGATTTTTGACAATCTAGCATCCAGGAAGAGTTTATAATTTCAGCCTGTTCTCAGGCAAATGGAAATATATTTTTATGCCAGTTTTCATTTGTGCTCTAATTGTTACTTAAAAAATCAGAGTAAAAGCAGTATGTAAATGGGTACTTTCATAACTTGGGCCATTATTTTTTATTTTACATTCAAGTGGCATGTTCTCTCCCATTCCCAATGCCACCTGGGAGGATTTTCTTCACCTCGTTCTCTTTTTACACTTCCCAGTTAATATTTCAAAACCCATTATGGGACAACAGGAAAGTGTTCATTTAATTTTACTATTGAGGATTTTACTTATTGATCAGTTGTTGGCACATAGAAATGCCAACGGTAGTTTTCATTAACATTTCATCCTATTCGAAATTCTAAGGTGATGATGAGAATGTCCCTTAAGGAATAGGGGTACTTGGAAAAGGGTTTGTTGCTCACTGATAACATTTAGTGTCTAATTAGCCTAATATATGAAAGATTTGAAGATGTCGGGCCCTAGAGTTTCCTTTACTTACTGTATTTTTGGGGTTATAATGCAATATTTGGTAACACCCTTGGAGAATGGTTGACTAGCAGCCTAGAAAGAGGGTATAACTCTGGTCATTGTGCCTTCTTTGCCCTTTAAGGCAGTACCGAGGAAGTGTGGGGTCGAGGTTTGGGTTTTGGATTATTGCCTCAGTGAAGAAGAGTAAGTGGGAGTTGGAGTTGGTTTTAGCTTAAAGGGGAGAGGGGAAGGGATTCTTAGCCCATGTGTGCTTGTCCTGCATCATTCAGCATCCAGCAGTATTTTGTGGGTAACTGGTCTAAGTTGATACTAAAAGAAATCTTTTTGTGTCTGATCTCTAGCAGGGGGAGCAATCTCTGAACTGTTATGAAGATCCTTGAAGTGCTTCGATCTTCCCCACTTTTCCATCATGTGGCTCTGGACACTTCAGTCATTTGAAAGTGACTTTAATTTAAAGCAAATGCCTCTGCTTCTCTCAGGAGGTGAAAGGAGTGAATTTTATGTTTGAATGAAGAAGTGAATTATGAACGAAGAGTACGCCCCTTCCCTTTCAAGCATAAGTCCAAATAGGCTCTCAGGAATGCGGATTTGTGAAGACATCAAATGGGAGTTTGACTCACTCACACTTTAATCTGAGTTACATTGCTGGAGAAAAGATACTTGTTTTGCTCATCTAATCTCACTGTACCCAGCATCATTTTGACCTGTCATTTCCTGTCTCCTACCTGCCTTCTATCCTCGGTGCATGTCCTTGAGTAACTTGTTCTTATCTGAAACTCTGCTACCAGTATCCTTGGAAAACTTCTGTTGCATATTCTTCCATTTTGAAACTTACCATTCGCCAGATTCCTCCTGTATTTCCATATTGAGTACAAAGGATGGGCAAAGAAGAGAGCGCTTGAAACATTTGACATTTTTAGAAAGGGAAGAACGATGAGAAAGTCCTAATGGACCCCATTTGGCTCAAGCAGGGCTGCAAGAGGGGTTTTTGTTTTCCTTTCACTGCATGTTCCCTCCAGTTTGGTTCATTCACACATTAATCATGTTTTTTTTTTGTGTGTGTGTGTGTGTTTTTTTAAGGTAGCTAGTTTCATTTGTCTCCAGCAAAGAATCATCAGTAGTTTATATTGCTTTCCTTGTGCTGGCTTCCAGAGATGGAAACAAACCAAGGTGTCTCTCAACAGGCTTCTTTTTATCGGGGTGGGGGAATCTATGCAAGAACCACAGTAAAGCCGCCCAAAATCAAAGCAGCAGCAACAGTTCAAATCACAGATGAAGGAACAAACCTTTCTTATCATTGCTTGTGAATATCTGTCCTTCTGTCAGTCATCGCATCTTCCCCTCCTTGTATCCAAGCTCCTTTTCCTTATGGCATGTTCCAGTCACTTCCTTTCTGTGAAAGGTTGCTTAGCTTTTAAAAAAATTTTTTTTACATCTTGCTTTTGCTGTTCTTTTATATAAAAGGTAGCAGATTGGATGGATGTGTACATTAGGTGTTTGAAATTCTCTGAAAATCCAGAGTAAAGAAACCAGGTGTGTGTGGAGGGGTGGGAGGGTAGGGGGTGGGGGGCTGGTCACTGGTCTGAGGAGAGCTTTTAGCTGACCAGAGTGCTTAATCCGCATCATCGTTTTCACAGGGTTTTCAAAGGGGAGTTTGTACACAGCTTGTTGTGAAATCTCTATCAGCTGGTGGGCGCTCCTCTAGGATTGGATTTTAGGATGGAGATTAAGGTAGAGCACATCAGTCAGAGCCTCTGTCTTATTCCACCTTTTCGAACCAAAATATTCAGTGGTTGATGAGCTGTCCTTGAGTCAGTTGCAACATGTCTATATTTTTAGATGCCACTACTTTTTCCTCAAATGCTTGTTTTGTGAATTTCATTTCATATTTCATCTCAGACCAGTGGTTGAGATTAGTAGGTGGCTCACTGACATTTTCATTTGCAGACATTCCATTCCACATCCGTGTGCTGTGTACTGCAGTCGTGTGCAAACCAACACAAAGGCTTCTGGCAGCAGCTCCTCATAATTATTTATGCTTTTGGAATTTTTTCAGATCCTGAAATCTGTCCATTTCAGTGTGATTTTCTCAATTTGTACCATATAAGCGTATTATCTTCTTTCCCTTTTTCACCCTCCTCCTTTTGTTTTCTAATGTTCCGTAGTTTTGTACAAGATGAGACTTAGCCTTGGGTACTTCTTGCTGAAGCTTTAATGCTTTGTAAATAAAATTGGATGTTTATTAAAGAGCAGATGTAGATGCGTGTTTGTAGGCACTCACCACTTCTGAAACTCACCTGCCCCTTTGCTTTATGACAGAAAAGGATCTTTCTTCGTAAAAATACAGAGCTGGGAGGGGGAGGGATGCTCAGGTATCCAGGTTTCTGCCTCTGGACGAGATTATAAATAAGCCATTCAAACAAAAGGTGGTACAAAGATCATCTAGGAATGATCTCTTCATATTTTTAAATGCAGTATAAGTGTGTGTAATGACTCTGTGGAGGCCCCAGTGCTGGGAGGTGTTCTGTAGGTTATAGAAACGCATGTGAGGAGGTTCCTGCCTTCAAGGAGCTTCTTAACATTCATGAGCACAGTTCCGTTCCCCTCTCTTGGCCCTTTCCTCCTAGATTAAATAGCTTCAGAACCCACTGAATATGTGTTGTCTTTTAACCAGATGTTTCATAAAGGCTAGTTTAGTGTTTGCTTTTAATCATCACATCTGAGTGTTTGCCTACTAATCTTTTCTATTATGTGACAGAATCCATCTTTGACATCATAGCTGTTTCATAGCAACATTGGCCCAAGTGAAAGATGAGCTCCTCTAGCCTCCAGAAGGAAGGGCATAGGCCTAGAGGCAGGGAGAATCGTGCGTCCTCTCCTCCTGAGAATATCTTTGGTGTCCTTGGGAAGAAAAAGTGCCTGGGAGGTGGAGAGGAGCTTTCATGTCGATACCTTGCTGAGAACAGTTGGTTTTTAAAAGGGCTCTTGGCCCTTGTCTTCATGAATTTTTATTTCTGTTTAAAATTCCTTACACAGGAACAGTATCTCACACTTTACAAAAGTATTTTTGTGTACACTTTTTTCATTTGATGCTCAAAATGACCTTCCTGAAATAGGCATGAAGGTTTTAAACTTACAGAGGAGAAATTAGACATTTTGGTTCTGGATATGTCACTTGCCTCCTAGTTCGGAGTTCTTAGTCCTTTTTATAGAAGGTTTAGGAGCATTGAGAGTCAGTAATTTAATTCAAGGTGGTCCTCTCTTTTAAGACTTGATTTCTTACTTGGCCAGAGTTAGCTGGGGTTTTGAAACCCTTTAAATTAGATCCACAATTTGGCTGGGAGGGGAAGGAGTGAGGGAAACTCACTCATTGAAGTCAAGTAGTTGAGGTGGTTTGGAAATTCACTTCAGCTTCTGAGATCTTTGTCTCCCCAGAGATAGACTTAAAGTATTGAAAGAATTGGAAAGAAGGGATTCGTAAGAGGGTTACTAATAAGCAGAGGTGGTAAAGCAGCAGCATGGTGACTCCTGCCTGTGGCCTCACCTATTAATAAGGATGGACTATGGCTTATGAAGTGGCGGAGCATGCATCATATCTTCTAACTTTGAAGGGTATCTCATGTCGAAGGAATTGAGTTATGATATCATAGAGGATTCAACTGGAACACCTGGAGGTGCTGTCCGAGAGCGGTGAAATGCCTACTGAGATATGATGACCTTGGCCACTAGTTTTGTCCTTAGAAGCCTGGTGCTGGCCTTCTACATGCCTTTTGTCATGACTGTCCCTAAAACACTGGCCATCCCTGAGAAGCTGAAAGAAGCTGTGGGGAAAGTCATTGTCAACGCCACCACCTGTACTGTCACCTGTGGCCTTGGCTACAAGGAGGAGACTGTCTGTGAGATGGGCCCTGATGGAGTGAGAAGGAAGTGTACATCTCAGCGCTTGGAATGTCTGACCAACTGGATCTGTGGGATGCTCCATTTCACCGTTCTCAAAGGCAAAGAATTTGAGCTGAGCTGTCTGAGTTCAGACATCTTGGAGATCGGGCAGGAAGCATTCCGGTTCACCTGGAGACTTGCTCGGGGTATCATCTCCACGGATGATGAAGTCTTCAAGCCCTTCCGAGCCAGTTCCCACTTTGTGAGGTTCAGATATATTCAGGAGGTGGACTCCGGGACTTACCGGTGTGATGTGCAGCTGTTAGAAAACTTGAGACTTGTCAAGAGGCTCTATTTTGGGGTGAGGGTCCTTCTTCCTAAGTTGGTGAAGCTGAATTTTCAGCAGTCCCTCACTGAGGATCAGAAGTTAGTAGATGAGGGCCTGCCAGTGGTTCTGGGTAACTATTCCAGGCCTTACCGTCCATCGTGGAGAAAGAAGGTGGCGATAGCCTTGGGCATAGGAATTACTAGTGGAGTGATGAGCACTGTGATGTTGGGCATTGCCTTGTACAGTGGGTGGTGGACGACCAATGGCAATGCCAGTTTTTAGACCTATCAGGCCTTGCTCCTGAAAGACTGGCTGCTCAGGAAGCAGGACTTGACTGCTCAGGAAATCAAGCTAGATTTTCAGGGGAGCGTCTGGCTGCCTGATTGTGGAGCAGCTAGGAGGGAGGTTTCCAGAGCCAAAAGAGTGAGTGGGGGTGTGGGGAAGGGACAGCATCTTGGTAGAAATGGGCAATATCTCAACTGTGTCCCAGATGGACCTCTTTTTGAACTTCCCTGTCCACTAGGTACCCAGATAACCTTACTGCACTCATCTCTTCTTTTGCTGGGAAGAGTTCTGTCTTCCAAATTTGCATTTATTTTTCTACCTTTTACATCTGGTATATCTCACCTCCACTTTCTCCCTTTGAACAGCATAATCACATAGAAGGGTACATTAATAATAGCTTTTCTAGTGAAAACACTTTTTCCTCAATAAAAATAATCGACAGTAGCTGTATGGCGATAATCTTTCCTACTCTTGAGTTAAAAATTTCTTGCACTTGTTTTAATTGTCCCATAATTGGTTAGTCTTTTGTTTTCCACCAATTTCTTAGAATAGATATTGAACAAATTGCTTTGTGAACCAGATCCAAGGTCAACAATGACATCTGACTCGGTATAGAATAGACCCTCACTAAATGTTAATGATTTATCAGCCCCTCTCCTTCCTCCCAGGTGAACCCTCTTATTCAGTGCAACATTGATTCCTGGCAACACACTGGAGTCTGCATCTGATAGGTTTCCCCTGAAAAGTGCCTTGGCTTGCTCCCTGCTTCCCTCCTAGCTCTCTCTGCACCCTGAAGCATGTGTTCCTAGAAAGGTCAAGCGTATTTGGTTTCTTACAGCAGCCACGGCCCCTTAAGGGGGGATTAGTGCCTCCCACCACGGGAAATCCAATCTAAGACCCTCAGAGGCCATTCCGACTGTCAGAGATAATTGGCTTGTAGAACCATCAGGGAAAAGGCTCTTCTTGGCTGTAGCCTAGCTAATTCTAAGAAACTTACAGCATTTCTTCCCCTCACTTTTCTCTGGTTACAGGGGATGTAGTAGAAACCAAGACTTGGACCAGTGGTTCTCTAGCCGAGTCTGAACCACCTGAATGAGCTTTTGAAATATAAGATTTCTGAGCCCTGAGGATGCTAATTCAGTTCAGTGATGACCAATGGGTCTCTATGATTTCCTCTGCTTTTAATTAAAAAAGAAAACATGTCAAACCCATAGAGAAGTTGAAAGAAAGGTTTGGTGACACCCATAGACTCTTTACCTAAATTCATCAACTTTGAACGTTTTGCTGCAATTATCTTCCTAATTACTGATTTTCCTGAACCACTTGAAAGCTAGTCACAGCCGTTAGTCCTAAATTATGTATGCACCTCATAAAAAGAGCATTCCCTGGTATCACTGCAATATCTTCATCACATCTTAAGAAAATGAACTGTTCCCTAGTCTCACATGTCATTTGTGTCTTTTAATTTTCCTAAAATCTTAGAGCTTTTTAATTTAAATTTTGATCCAGGATCAAGTGGAAGTTAACCTATTACATTTGGTTGTTTCTCTTACGCCTTATTTTACAACAGGTTGGCTTATTTCTGTTGTTTTTCATGACATTGATTTGAAGCGTCTAGCTAGGTCCGTTCTTAAACAGCGTCCCACGATCTAGATTCATCATTGTTTCCTGATGATTAGGTTCTGAGGAATGAACCTTCCATATTTTGACAAGAGCCTGTGTAGATGATGACGTGTATTTACTGCATCACCTCAGTAGGCGCATGACGCCAGTTGAACTGCTGTCGATAGGCCTCTCTAAAGATATATAAGGAAGTTAATCCTTGTAATTATTTGTATTACAACCGTATTAGTAAACCTACTTTTGCCCACTCCAATATGTTTTTCTCCTTTTGTAAATAATCTGTGGATGATACTTCGTGATTATCTGGTTTTCTTAAAAAATTTCCCCAAACATTTTGGAATCCATTCACGATCCTTACCTTATTATGGCATGTGGGGGTTGCAAACTGTTGGTTCTTTACATTTATCATGTCTATGTTTATAAGCCTGCAGTTTTTTGTAAAGAAGAGCTGCTCTTTTGACTGTTTTTGAGGTCTCAATGGATTCTCTTTTTAGTCAGTGAATTGTATATAATCCATTACTGTTGTCATGTTTTTGATATTCAAATTGTCCCCAGTTTTGGCTAGGAGGAGTCCCTTCAAGCCAGCTCTTTTGTCCTTTAGATGTGATTCCATTTGGCTTTGAGCATGCCCTTGCTTCCTAGTACTAGATGTCTCAGGTCTACATTCGGACTTTCTCCAACCCGGAATCTGCTGTTTCTCCAGGAGCTCTGCCTCCTGTGAGTGTGGGGCAGAAACCAAGGGCTGGGCACTGAATGTGCTTGTTGCACTGTGGAGTCACTGCTTTTGGGTCTTTTCAGTGTCCTAGGTTCATAGAAATCATAAGTTCAAAGCATGTTTGTTTTGTAGGAGTGGTGTAGGCCAGTGGTCGGCAAACCGTGGCTCTTTGGCCCCTTGAGTTTTTAGTAAGGGCCAGCTTAGGAGTACCCAAATTAAGTTAATAACAATGTACCTACCTATCTAGTTTAAGTTTAAAAAATTTGGCTCTCAAAAGAAATCTCAATTGTTGTGCTGTTGATATTTGGCTCTGTTGACTAATGAGTTTGCCGACCTCTGGTGTAGGTAATTCTGCTTCATAGTGAAGATTGAGGACCACTGGTCTAGGCCGTGCACAGGGAGTCTTTACTATTGCTCTTATTTTGAGAAGACCTTACATTTCACACACACACACACACACACACACACACACACACACACACACCCCGCCCCCTTCTCTCTACCTCAGAGGGGATGGGTTTCAGAAGACCTAGGTTCTGCTTCTGTTTTTACTGGTAACTGTACAATGGAGCAAGCTCTGACCCGCTGAGGTCCTCATCTTTGAAACACGTGATTGTAAGGATCAAATGAGATCCTGTGAGTGAAACTGCCTGTAGACTGAAGGCCTGGCTATGAGTGGGACAGAGTTATTTCTGATGCCTGTTAGTTTCGTACCAGACAGTTGGCTGAAGCAGTCAGGAGAGAGCTTGCTATACTTTCAAAGGCCATAAAAACAACATCTCTGTAGGTAACTCAAGATGACATTGCTGAGGGAGGGAGGAGGATGGGGGTTATGTTCCACATTTTACAGATGGAGAGAGACCGAGACCCAAGTCCTTTCTGTCACTTTTGCAGCACTCAGTGGCCACGCCTGGAAGGAATGTTGTGCAGATCTAGGTTTATAGCCCTCTGTGCATTGCACTCCTGAATTTTGACTCTTGAGAGTGCGAAGGGATTGAATGGGGACGAAAACAAAAGGCCCTAAGATGTGTTAGTGAAGACTTAAATACAACTCAGTTCACTGAATTCTGTGATTGTAATCAGCCTCGAGGGCCAGGGAGATGCTGAGTGAACTAAAATTTGGGGTCAGAGTGGCCAATGGCCCAGCAGCCCTTTTGGGTGCAAAGTGAAAAGGGGTGAGCCTGTTGAGGTGTCATTGCCGTCTGTGCTGGCCCCTCAGGGTACGTAGGCGAGCTCCTGACCAAGAGGCTGTTCTATTTCTCAGGCTGAGTAGCGAGTAGAGGGGCCTTCGCCTCCGCCTCCCCATACTCTGAAAAAGGGAGGAGACCTACCTGCTTTGCAAGGAACAAATGTAACACAAGTGTGGTGGTGTCTGCTGACTGCCTGGGAGATGTTGCAGCTGGGAGCCATGACTGGGAACTCTAGTTCTACTGGGTGCTGTTGAGCGGACCCTGGAGGCACCTTTTCTCCAGGTGGGGGTCACTACGTCTCTGCAGGGAGAAGCCTGCCCTTGGGGACAGTTGAGTCAATACCTCCAATGTCTTAAAAACCGGGCACCTTGAAAGACAAGCCCTGCTGACCGCCCATCGTGTTGTCTAGCCGTGTGCTGCCTTGGCTTCCCCAAACCTCCTGGCGGATTCCTCCCACAGGACTGTAGCTGTAGCTATGACTGCCTTGAGTTGCCTGGGGCCGGGGGAGGTAGGGCCAGGAGCCCACCCGGGGTTAGGGAACAGGGGGAGGAGGTGCTGGAGCTGATGATAAAACACCGCAGGTGGAGAAACCGACTTTATTTCAGAACTGCCTGCTACCAGAGTCAATAACTATCGTTACAAGAAGTACAAGAGAGAGAGACAGACAGACAGACAGACAGACAACGGGCCAGTGGGAGTGGTTCGTCTGAACAAACACCGAGCCAGGTCCGTGGTCCGAAGAAGCCCCAGGCCTTGCGGCCCGGAGCCTTTCTAAGCTTCGCAAGCCCTGGAGAGGTGGGTAAGTTGGAGTGCGGGGACCAAGGCAGGGCCCAGCCCACAAGGGCATGAGTCTTCCCGCTCTAGGCAAAGCTGCTTGTCCTTCTTCCCCTTCTCCAGTTCCCTTCTATTGTACCTTCCCCAAACTATGACCATATATATAGACAGCCACCAGGCACCGCTTTCCCTGGGGCTCATTGACGTCCCTTTAGAATGTCTCGCCAGTCCCCCACACCCTTCCAGGAGCCTCTGGCCACCTCACTCTTCCCCAGGACAGAGCCCAGGGGAGGCCTGCCCGGGGAAATGGGCACCACACCTGGGCCTCTGGGCAGGAGTGAGGACACTGCTGTCCCTGCGACAGGAGCCCAGGTGGCAGTCATTCTGAGACCAGGAGGACAGTCCCCTGGCTGGGAAAGGGATGCAGGAGTAAAATCATCAACCAGCCTGGGCTCTTGTCCAGAGCACAGCCTGGGTGGTTCTCAGATGGCCAGGAGGCAGTGCCTGCTGGGCATCGGCTGCCTGGGTGAGCTCCCGCCCTCTGTGATGTGGCAGGGGCATAGCCGATGGGCGCTCCAGGACTCCTGTCCCGGCACCTTTGGTTCTAAGGATCTGGGCCCTGGAGGGACACCCCTCAGCACCTCCCCACCCTCCAGTCCTCACTCACTGGACCCCAGCTGCCCACATTCCTCACG